GATTCTTTTGACAAATTATGCTTAAATGCTAATGGTACAAAAATATTCTGAATGAGATTTAATCCCTGTAAATAGCTGTGGATTGGTAGAAATCTTAAAGCATGAACACCTGGCAATAGACTTATCCTACTGGAGTTTGTTTTAACATAACCGCTAGAAATTTTAAATGTGGTATGCATGCACAAACATATGCGCATTTGCACACACAAAATATTATAGTACACAGAATATTGTAATTATACAATCTAGACAAATTCACTGTGCAACCTTAGCGTTTTGAACCTCAAGATAGTAAATATGATATTTTTGCCTTCTATCAGTTGTACGCAATGGATCCTGTAGCCCATCATCTTTTTTCTTTCTGCTCTATAAACACCACATCACCATTTTCACGTGCCAGTGCCCAAACAAGAGAAAGCGAGTCCTATGTCAGCTACATGGCTGACCACCACGGCCCAGTTTCAATTGTACTGGAAAGCAACTGCATGCAAGGCTTGGGAACAGGTCTGGCACCGCTCATGGGCAGCCCATGAAAGGGAAGGCTTGGTGGACACACGCAGTGACCCTGCCTGTCGCACACCAGCAGCTTTCAGGAAATGTGGAGTGGACATAATAGGACGGAGTTCCCCTGGGGTAAGCCTCTTATGCGCTGTCTGAAACACTACTGCGGACACTTCTTTTAATGCAAGTGACCAAAGGTTATCCCTTTCGTAACAACGAAAAGTAACTTTTCAGAACTATGCAAACACAATCTGATTCTTTTTTCCAAAATTCTACGCATGTTTATTTTAGAACAGTGTGGTCCACAATATCCATACGTATTAAGGCACTTACGACAATCAAACTGCATAATTTGTCCAAAATATGTTTCATTTTACCCTCTTGACTGCCAGATTAAAAGTTAGAGCTTGAAGCCACATCTTAAACAGTAAGAGTTGAATTCAGAAGACTGCTTTCTTGGAATGTCACATCTATTTCGAAAAATAGGGAACAGAAGAGAACTTCCATGTAAGTGTCTTATATAATAATGATAGCCCAGAGAATACATAAAATAACAGTTTACTACAGGCATGATTTTTAAAATTAGTGTGTTTAGGAATTGTAAAACTGTTTCTTATGAGTACATGCTCCTAAATATAAGGGCTAAATTTGAATGTGATACATAATTTGCACTTGTTGTTTCTGTGTTTGCAAAAACTCCCCGTGTGTAAGTCCTTTTAGAAGAAAGAACACTTCGTGGTTATAAATGTTGGGAGAAATAATAGAAGGATATCTATGCAGCCAGGTTTCCTTGAAGAGAAAGAATGGTAAAGTCTTTATTTTCAAAATGAACCACCTGCTACATATTCTGGTGTAATATGTATTTACTGCATTTAGCTTAATGAATGCCACAGCGAAGAAAAAGGAGATACTAAAGGCACATCTGATTTCCTTTTCCTGAACCATATTGTGCTTAAATTCTTGTCTTTCCAAAAAAATTTTTTAAGATTATATCCATTTCAGTCTGGCTCATTCAAGCACCAAGCCAAACAGTCATACATACAGCCAGGTATAAAATTAATAAATCTGTCATTAAGTTGCTACTTACATGGGAAAAATGTATTTACTACTGCATATTTTAAACATAACACCTATAGAATAATCAATGTAATTCTGTGATTAAACTGATGGAAACCAATTAAAGAACTGAGAAAGGGATTTATAATGGTCACTGTTTTTAGGTTTACATTTAAAATCTTTTATCTCACATTTTATCCTAAGTCACATTTCCTTGTATATGCAGTATGTAAATAGAAATTGTTAAGTTCAAAGGAGAACAACTATGTCACCTTTAACGCATGGAATAGAGATCCATTCCAATGCCATGACACACAGAAATTTATTTTCCATAGTCTGTAAACACAAATCTGCCAATCAACAGGAAAAAAAATTTACATCCTAGGTATTTAAACCCCAAAAGTCCTATTTCTTTATGAGACTTTATGCTTATTTCCTGTAGGTACTTGTAATTCTTAATTATATATTTACACCACTGAACAGTTTTATATTAAAATCCCCTTAGGTAAATGGGCTTTCAGACAATTATTGGTGACTGACTGGCACTTTAATACAATTGACATAATAATTATAACTGCAATGCTTGTAAGAATAATTTTTTTAAAGAAAGTCTCAAAATTAAAAACATTCAAATTAACGTTATAATACTGGCTATGATACAAGTAATCCTCAATTATAATACAGAAGTTTTTTAACATCTGTACCAAGAAATTTTAAATAGAGCTTTTTGGAAAACTATGATTTAAAACACCACTGTAACATGTGTATAATACAACATGAAAATAATACATTTCCATTTACAGTAAACCAATACCCACTGGCTGTTTGCTTCCATTTCACATATTTATTTCACACTGTATTCAAACAGTTCAAAAAGAAACACCTAACCTTGGGAAAGAATCACATCAAAATTCCTTTGTCTGAGGAAAAAAAACAGTAATTTCAACGTTAACTCTTGGGTAATTAAACTACTATTTTAATCCAGAAGAATATGCTATATTAGGATTCTGTTAAACCAGAAAAAGATTTAGGATGATATTAATGTTTTGTGAATAGGATTTAAGCCATTTGTGCTATTATAAACATCCTACTTAAATAAACAAAAAAAAAAAAAAACTTCAAATTACTAATTCTAATTCAAGGCCAACTCCAGTTACCACCTAATTAATTTTACAGTGTGTTAATGGCATGCTCTTCCTGTTCTAATGGTAAAAACTTCAGATTTTACCTTTTCTCTGAAAAACAAGACTGCCAGGAAAACAAAAGAGTTTACTAATGGTTTCCAGAGAAATGTATACACAGAAGCGTAGTTTGCCAAAAGGAACAGCTACAACCTCTGTACTCAGCTTTGATAAACTTGATATTTTTCCAAGACTTGAGATCCTTCTGATAAACATCCCACATGAATTATTTTTATGCTAGAAAGGCAAATGGCACTACAGTTTGATGAATTAATGTCACCTTTTTTTAATCTGTTTTTTCAGAAATCTAAGATACAGTACTAACGTCAACTGTCATTTCTCCTCCCCTTTGCACATGGGTTTCATTGATTTCCAAATAAACACCTGAAGATACAGAATCCTGCCAAAAATATTGTTAATACTGCCTATAGGAAACTGACCTGGCTCTATAAAATATTTCATTCAATTCTTAATTCACGAAATAACTAACGTTTCATGTGACCTGAAAATATCTTGAATTTCCATTGTTCAGAAACATTTCAAATCCTCTCAACTGTGGTGTCCTGACCCCCACTATTTAGTCTCTTCCCAATGCCTGGTAAACAGCTCACCGTGAAAGTTGAGCCGTTTGAATTTCAGGGAAGCACTGCTGGTGGATGTCCTTCTCACAATAGGAATTTCCACATTAATATTTTACCCCGGCACGTTCATACATAAAACGCTACATTTTGTTCTCTTTTGAAAAGTCGTCCTTTTTCCCGATGGTGTGACCATGCACGCCCTCCAAATGACAGAAATGGTGACAAATTGTCAGTTAAAAACAACACTCCGAAAAGGTGAAATCTGGACACGTTTGGAATAGCACTGCTTCCTCAAGCGCAGTTTCTGTCTTTGACACGAAACAAGCCTATTTGCGTTCCCACTTTCTGGGCCCACCTACTAAAAGCCTTCAAAAAAAAAAAAATCCAACAAATGCGAGAGTGATTTCCTCCTAGGAGTGAACGATTGTTGCAGCATCCTTAGGGCACCTCTTCCTCTGTGTGTGTTTAAGACAGCGGGCTGGAACATTCAGCCAGTGAAGAGGACAGTCACCTCCTGTGCTTCTAACAAAAAGGACCTACAAAGATCATCCAACATTCCTGCCAAATCAATGGGGGAAAAAAAAAAACAGCAGGCACTGCCCTTGTGCGGCCTGGGGATGCCTGCACTGACACCTGCTGTAACCACCCCTTAACCTGAATCCCAGGTCGGACACAGCTGCAGGGAGTCAGCCGGTACCCAGTCTCCGTGAGCACCCACCCAAAACTCCAGCGCTGTGCCCACAACGCGCAGCAAACAGCTCCCCGCGGCCTCAACGCTGGGAAGGCTACCTTGGGCTTGGGTTTTATTTTGTTATGTGCAATGCATTAGGAGTGACTCATGCACTTAAGATCACCTACTCCGAGAAGCTTGGAAGTAGCTTCAAGAACCAAAATCAATGCATCCCCAGCCTGCCCGGTAGGCTATTTGGCGCGTTTTAAAAATACATATGTATGTATACACTGATGCGTGCCACTGACTGAAGTCCACAGCTTTTTTCTGCATCCTAAGGGAGTATTGAGATTTCCCATTCCTTTCCTGCTACCTTTACACAGTCTGTTTCCAAAATAGCAGACAGGATTTTTATTATTATTATTACTATTATTATTTCAAAGTTATTTTAGACATGTTAAAAAAATCAAATGGGAAGGGAAAGGGAGGAAAAAAAAAGCAGGAGGCTCGGGTGAACTGATCTACCCGTCCTGGGAGCGGGAGCCTGGCACTGAGACGGAGATCGCGAGCCAGAGGAGGTCCGGGCGCGTGGTCCCGGCACCTGCGGGGGCCGGGCGCGGGCGGCTTCCGGGGCGCCAGGAGCTGTGGAGCGCGCCCGGTCCGCGTGCGGACCCCGGGCGGCTCTGGACACCGCAGCCGTCAGAGCGCGCTTCCCCAAGGAAGGGCCCTGCCCCACCAGCTCCTGGTAAAACGCGCACCGCCGAGACACAACTCGGCCCGCGTCCCCTCTGGACCTCTGAACTCCTCGAGTCGCCGGGACCCCGGCAGAACCCGTGAGGCACGGCCGCCGCCGAGTCGCGGGCGCTCGTTCCCCCGCGACGGCCCCGGCCCTGCGCATTCCAGCGCCCACGGAGCCCACCCAGCCCGGCTCCGCCCGCCGCTCGCTCCCCACCCGCACGGGCGGCCGCCCGAGCCCCGCGCCGCGGGACCCCCTCCCCCGCGCCGACTTACGTGACGGCTGAAGGGAACGGCTCCTCCGACGAGGGCCCGATCAGGATCAGCCACGCCTGCCAAAGTGTCAGCGTCCAGGCCAGCGGGCGGCCCGCAGCCATCTTCGCGAGCTGGGAGCAAGCCCCTCACACGCCCCGACCGCCCCCCAGCCGGCCCCGGGGCCGGGGACCGAGCGGCGCTGCCACCCGCGGGCGGCGGCGGCGGCGAACGGCGCGCGGGCGGGCGGCGGCGGCGGCGAACGGCGGCGCTGGGCTCTGGGAAAGGGGCGGGCGGACCCCGCTAGCGCGCGTCGGCTGTTCGGCGCCGCGGCTGCCTCGCCTCCGCCGCCATCAAGGGCGACTTTTGCCAACAGACCTCGGCGGTGCCGCCGGCGCCCGAGCGCGTTCACACAGTGAGTGGCCCTGCGTTGAACGGTGCTCCCTCCATGGTTTTCTTTCCCGAGATGGCCGCCACGGGGGCGTGAGCGCGCGTTCCGGAGCCGCCAGCCTGGGGGCCGGGGTGGAGGTGGTGGGAGGGGAACGGCTCCGAGCGGCCTGGGCCGGCGAGGCTGGAGGAGGCGGCCGGGGGCGGGCGGAGAGACGGGGCCGGGAGCAGCCCACCATACAAGGCAGGCAGGAAACTCCCCAAAGTGGGAGTCGGCAGGGCTGGGCTGCGGAGGCCCCGGGCCGCCGCTATTTCCGCGCGCGCAGGCGGCGCAGCCCCCTTTAGCCCTTCTTGTGCCTGCCTGGGGACTCGAGACCCGGTCTTGTGGCCACCACTGGGGGGGTTGGGGGGGTTCGACCAGGTGGCAGTTTGCCCGGCTGTGCCACGGTGGGTAGCGGGGCGGGCAGAGCGCCTGTGCCAATTGTGCCGGCGGCCCCCTTCTCCCAGGTGCAGCTCGGAATGGAAGGGTCGGCGCGGGGAGGGGGCATAGGCCTCCCTCCCACGGGCTCCCCGCAGTCCCTGAACCGCACTGGCCGCTGCAGGGCACGTTCAGGTGTGTCAAGTCGTGGCAGCAGCAGGCACAGGTGGCCCTCCGCGCGCCGAGGCGCCGGGCCGGGGGAGCTGCGACGTGTGCGGTGCCGTGCGGTGCCGAGCCGAGCGCGCTCCGCCTCCGCCGTCCCGGGGAAGCCCGGGCTGGGCGCGCGCCGGCCACCCCAGTGAGAGATCCCACGGCGCTGGTCCTGGGCCTTCCTCGTAGCCGTGGACCTGCCGGGTCGAGGGTGGGAAAGTTTGCTTGAGCATCTCAGACTTGCCAAGCCGCGTCGGCGGCGCAGAGGGCCCAGCTCCAGATGAGAAAAGTGGCCGTTGTGCGTGTGGGAAAGCAGCCTGTTGTTATCCAAGTACCTGTTTTTAATAATTAGCCCTTAGTGCCTTAGTTCCAGGAGGAACTAATGAAAGAAGAAAGGCCCTTATTAATTCGAAATGGATTTTCCAGTCGTCTGAAAGCGACCTCTCCGAAGACGGGTGGTGGTGGTGGTCCAAATTTTAAGTGTGTATGATTTTATGATGCTCAGTCCAGCGGTGTTTTTTTGTCCTTGCTCCCCATCTACCTCTTTTTTTTTTTCCTTGTTTGCCTTATGCTCTGCATCTTTATCTTGCTCTTTGTCTGTTTTTCTGCTTTGAGTGGCCTCACAAAGGGCACCCCGCCGAGACTTAACTTACTTTGTTTTATGTTAGGCAAAGAGAATTTGGCAGCCAGTGAGGGGTGAAGTGGGGTGTAATGGGATCGAGAAGTGGAGCTCCAGAGGGTATTTTATATAACCGAAGAAAGCTTTCCACTCCAAACTAAGACAACCACATAGTGTCAAGTCCATTATTGTTTATTTTATATCTAATGATTCTAAGGCAGATTTTCTTCCCCCGCATGAGGAGTAAGAAAACCAGAGTGAAAGAAGTCCATTATTGTCTATGTGATAACTCTGCCTATGTCATAACACAGTGCGTAAAAACGTCATCATCATATATCTTGTCAATTACTCCATTAAGGACTCCAGACTTCCCACTGTGGTACACCGGTTGTCAATTTTGTATGTTTTGCAGGAGAGCCTTAAAGAATGTAATAAACTCCTAGAGACGTTAAGGCAGGCTTCGTGATTAACTTCGTTGGTCTTTGAGCCAAACCTCCGTTTCTTGGCATTGCTGTGATGAAGCGCTGTGCTCTCCAATACCTGAGGCTGTTGAAGGGAGAGATTGCTTCTACGATTCTTGTTGAAAGCGTTGGCTATCCGCTGGGAGCCTAAGTCATTCCTTAATACTCTGTTGTGTGCTGTTCCATTCATTGCTTTTACCGACCTGAACCTTTCTAATGAGGATATTCAGTGTGGATTTATTTCCTGCATATGATAGCTAAAACAAGAACATTCACCGAACATTGCTTTATGTTTCTGTTGGATTCACTACAGTTTTCTCCAATGCATTTCTTTTTTTTTTCCAGTTCAGCTCTATTGTTTCAGAAAACTCCATAAAAATCATATCTTATTAATTTAATAAAATTTTGCTAACTCACCAAAATTTCTCATTCGTGATAAAAATTATCAAGGGCAATATAATTTATGCAAAACATTGATAATTGGTAGCTCAGTTATTTCATAGAAATGCTGAATTTGTTCATGCACATTACACTTAGATTAACAAAATATGAACAAAAACAATAAAAATCTAATAGCCATGAAATACCCTTACTCCTTTTTTATTTGAGATTATGCTATGAATATTTGGTAACATAAAATTCTATCTTGTATTTTTATAACAGCCTATGTTTGTATGTACATAGGAGGGTATTTTTCTGTTTTTTTTTCAAATCCAATTAGAATAAGACAGAGTAACCTAATGAAAATTATCTGACTCCTCTCCTTTTTTGTTCTCCTGTACAGAGATTCAAAAATGAAAAAAAAGGAAAATAATTACTCTTTAAAAGGCAATAATTTCCCACTTTTTTGCATATTTTAAGACAACCGTGTTGAAAACCTTGACAAACATCTTTATTTGCTGATATGCAGGTGAAAGTATATGAAGAGCCATAATCAGATATACTTGTGATTTAAGGAATATTGTGTTTCTATGCACAGACGTATGTGACGTTAAAGACAAAGGAACAGAAAGCTTCACCTATCCTATCTCTTTGGAGAATATCTCAGGTGAAGGAATTTAGAAAGAAACTCAGAAGTAGCCATTCCCAGAAGAACAGGTGAGGGATGTGTAGTGAATTTTTGTTAAGTCAAAGTTCATCATCAGTATTTGTAAAGCAGCATCTAGAGGCCTTCATGAAAAAACAACATGGAAAGGAAACTATCCTAAATTAAGAAACACAGGAGGCAGGCGCTTGACCCAATTGTTAAGGCCTCAGTCAAGATACTCGCATCCCACATCAGAGGGCCTGGGTTTCTACCTGACTATGGATCCTACTCCAGCTTCCCCCTACTGAAGACTCTGGGAAGCAGCAGTAGTGGCCCAGGTGAGTCCCTGCCACCCACATGAAAGACCTGGATTGAGGTCACAGCTCCCAGCTTTGGCCTGGCCCAGCCCTGGCCATTTTGTCCATTTGGGAAGTGAAGCAACATATGGAAGTTCCCGCTCTCCCTCTCAAATTAAAATAAATAAATAAATAAATAAATAAACATGTTTTTAGAAATAAACCAAGGAAGACAGAACAGGAGCAAGCATATAACAGATTTGCAGAAGTTATATAAAGGGGTGCAGGTTGTAGATGTTTGTGGTGGTGTTTAAGACACTGCCCAGGATTGCCTGCATCCTATGTCAGAGTGCCTGGGTTCAAGTCCTGGCTCTGTTCTCCATTCCAGCTTTCTGCTGATATGCGTCTTTCTAGGCAGCAGGCGATGGCTCAATTAGTTGGGTCCCTGCCACCCACACGGGACACTCAGAGTTCCAGGCTCCTGACTTAAGCCTCGCCCAGCCATGCCTGCTGTGATCATCTGGGGACTGAACCAGTGGCTGAGAGGTCTCCCTCTTTCTCCACCTTTCTAACAAACAAAGCTTAATGATAAAAGTGTTCAAATATTTTGTATAAACAGGCAATTATTTAGAAGAAATTTTGCCATGACCCAATTGACAGAGAATGGCATAAACTCTTAAGAAATACCTTTTCTAAACAGACGGAAAGGAGCATGAAGCAAATGTTTATTGGAAGTTTATTACTTGCCCATTGGAGTCCTCGATTGGCAAACTTATGCTAACTTGAGCATTAAGGAAAAAAAAACTAGCTATTTAAAAATGCCATCATATCTTTTCAACCCAATAATAGCTTTTCTTTTGAATTTCTTATAGAACTTTTCATTCAATTCCTTTTATTTTTATTCTTCCTTTCCCCTTTCCCTCACTAAACACAAGGACTTCTTAGAAAGCAATCAGGGCCTAAGCATGACTTTCTTTTTTAAAAAAGCAAACTCTATTCAACTCTAAAAATCTAGATTTCACAGTAAGATTCTTCTTTAAAGTTAAAGCTACTTGTTTTGTTTCCTTTGAGTTGTGAGTTATAGAACAAAGGAATATGGAATCCACATTCTTGGGCCTACATAGATAAAGGGAAATAGAGAATGCAGTTATTTATTTATCCAAATATTCACCAGCAATGGAAACACAATGGAAAGTGGTTAATGAGAGGTAGATAGCAAAAATTGAAATGATTAAACCCATGATTATTGCAAAATTTCCTGGCTTTTTTTGGTTTTGGGGTGTTTTTTTCTTTTTTTTTTTTTTGTTTGTTTGCTTTTATGGATACAGTGTTCTGACATGGGGCTTTTCTTATTCTTTAAACACAATGGAACACCAGTGTAGCTGAGTGTATTTCTGTAAGAATTTGGGTATGTTATGGGTCAAATTCACCTCCTGAACAATAACTCATTACTGTAAGGCACAGGTAATATACAAGTTAGTCAGTTAAACAGGTGTCCACGGAAGCCCCACAAAACAGTCTTGGGGGGCCGGTGCTGCGGCTCACTAGGCTAATCCTCCGCCTTGCAGCGCTGGCACACCGGGTTCTAGTCCCGGTCGGGGTGCCGGATTCTGTCCCAGTTGCCCCTCTTCCAGGCCAGCTCTCTGCTGTGGCCCGGGAGTGCAGTGCAGGATGGCCCAAGTGCTTGGGCCCTGCACCCCATGGGAGACCAGGAGAAGCACCTGGCTCCTGCCTTCGGATCAGCGCGGTGCGCCGGCCGCAGCGCGCTGGCCGCGGTGGCCATTGGAGGGTGAACCAACAGCAAAAGAAGACCTTTCTCTCTCTCTCTCTCTCTCACTGTCCACTCTGCCTGTCAAAAAATAAATAAATAAATAAATAAAAACAGTCTTGGGGTGTCGCTCCCCGTCTTCGTGGAGGAACGACACAGGACCCTGCGCTGTTCTTTCGTCCGCTCGGCCCTCCCCAGGTTTGCTGCTGGTTCTTCCCGGGTTGGCTG